ATGCTTCTGAAAGGAGACCCTAGGACGGACACTACTAACGTGGGAAAAGTGTCTCGAGTGACCCTGGTCCAGACTTGGGTTATTTTTTGCCGAAGCTCAAACGTTGGCACAGAATCAGAATGTTGGAGACACTGTCTGATGCTGCTGCTTCCGCATCCAGAACGGATAAATGGTCATTGAAACTCACTGGTAATTTTAATCAGTGGTTGATAGATAGCATATCCTCTCATTAGTGCCGTTTTGGTTATCGAAAATTTGCAAAGCTTGATTTAGTGGTGTCTGGCCGTTTGAAATTGTTGCATATTACAATAGTTACATTGCATCCCCTCTGCCAGAATGGTAATGCGGGGAAAGTTCTTGCTTAATCCAAAGTTACTCGGGGGTGAATCCAAGCGACTGCATTAAACTAGCAACTGCTCTAGTTGTTCATCGCAGGGAAGTGAGAGCGCGGATGATGGAATTCACTGCCATGTCATAATTGTGGTTCAGAGGGCTGTAGTGTTTGGAAGCTGGAAACCAAGCCGTAGTCTCACGTGTTAATTTATCGTTTGCTGATGGTCTTCGCGTGGGCATGATTGGTGGTGGCAGGGGCGGTGTGCCGCAAACAGGCATTTTTAGCATTAGATGCCTGAAATGAACCCTGTGTTAAGCTTACTTCCGTGGTACCAGAAATTTGCCACTGAAATCACAATAACTTCGAAAGTATGTTAGGGCAAAAGTAAGTAATTGCACCCAAGAAATTGTTCCCTGCTCGTCATGAAATGATGCCTGTTATCTACAAGATACTAAATCATAGACGTAAAATTCAGAACGTATCGTCTTGCTTTAAGAAAATTTTAACAACCTAGAGATATCTACGAGCGAGTTGTTCATGAACATCAATATACTTCAATCCGAAGCACACAAATACTGGATGATTTGTTGGTGGTTTCGAAATCATGCCGAAGTGTGGCACACACGGTGTGCTTGTACACCTCGCAGTATAGTGGTCTGCCACTTTCAACCAAGAGACTATTGGTCTGTCACCGGAAGGAACAACGAATTGTGCTGGGTTGTGTTTCAGGGAAAGATACAGTAGAGATTTAAAGAGCTTTTGATAATTGGGAGAGGTTGAGGACAAGATGGTATTCAATTTTTTATGCAGTTTTAAGACTGAATGAAAATTTAACTATAACTACTGAGGCTTCCCTTGAAACGAAAAGCAGATAACTAAAAGAAACGAACTTCCTGTTGAACGATAGTGCCTGCCATCACGATGAGGAGTCACTGCATTAAACAACTCTGTAGCACGTGACAGCGTCTCATGTGACACGTACATTTGCGCTTGTTGTTTTTCACGTTCACCAAATTAGGCAAAAGGCAAACAAGATTCCCTGACCCGAGTGATAGGCTATGAATACCGTGTCGTTTCGCATCAAAGAAACATATAATGTTCACGAGTCGTATGTCGCTATCCTCACGTCGACAAACAGCATAATTAAAAAACTTCCTAATTCCTTCAATGAGGATTCATATGAACTGCGTCGATCCTTTAGCTGCGATTTCACATAATAATTTTCTTCACAGAACCGCTCTGTTGTGCCGAAGGAGCGCTGCCCAACCCGGATATCTCAGTGTCGTTAGCCGATAAATTTGAAGGTTTACGTAAAGCATTACGGATAAAGCAGTTGTACAGGAAAAACGAAACCTCGTCATATTAGGGGATTCAGCGCTTTGGTAATTTCCGGCTCTCTGGGATGTAAACGCTGGGGCTAGATTTGTAGAACAAGTCGTTTTTACCTCCTGACGATTTGTCAATCCTTAAATTATTTACTCAGCATAGGTTTATTATAAGCGTTTTCTCAAACGTTGCAATATCGTTTCTGACGATGCAGCTACTGCAATCTGAAATGTCAGGCAAGTTGCATATATTGTATGAACGTGATCCAAAAACTCCAACCTGCTGTCCCCATGGTAAGTACGACGGAGTGCACTCTCTTCAGCCGCTACTGCTGCACTGGAGGTCTTCTACGAGCTTCTGGGGTAACGAAACTTTGAGGAAAATTTATGTGGCCAATCACCAACTCATAGCATTTTATTGATTAGAGAAACCGCATGCAATTTGTAATTTGTGGTACCAAGGCGACTGATTGGCTGCGAACAAAGCATTCAAGGCAGTGAAGTCATTGTTGACGAAAAGAATATAGCCGCATTGAGAACCAAACTTTGAACACAACATGCGATAGTAGGCGACCGCTAGAAAGACCTCCAAATGACAAATGACAGTATCTCGAAAAAACCAGTATGGCATATAAAGGATTAAAAAGCAAGCAGGAATATTAGTATTAGTACAAGAGTACAAGAACAGAATACTGCTAGTGCATGAGCAGGTATTCGACTGCGTAAGTTCTTAGACGCGCCACCTTTTTCCAAGCAACTAGAAAAACAATTACTAAGCGAATTACACCATTTAATGACTATGGTTATGAAAATTTGCCGATGTACTCAAGAGGTTGATTTTGCATTTGCTTGGTAAGTTTTGCATTTGCCAATGTGACACGAGAGTGTGAACCATGCATTATGTTTATGAGCGTTTGAATAAATTTGAAACCTAGATTGTTGTTTGGTTTTGAACTTGACCGATGATGCTTTCCAGCTTAACTTGTAATGAGTAAACACAGGTGAAAAAAACACTACCGCCAAAATGCATTAAATATCGTATATTATCCCCTGAACAGAGTATCAGCGATCAGCCATTGAATAATAGAATCCATAATCTCAAGTAATATGACATAGGCTTGTAATCAGGGGATCTCGATCATGGTCGGAGCGGCCGTACAGACACCAGGTGATTTATCAATCTGAAGCCACTACTTAGTCGATAGCAGGCTGTTTCAAATTTGAGGATAGATCTTCCATCTCACCGCAATCTGTAGAGAAAAGACAGTCGACTGCGCTAAGATTTTTTTGTCTCAAGATTAAAGTACTACACATTCGTCGCCACTACTTCGCTTTCCACGGATTACGTGCAGAACGTTATCAATATTTCCATATTACTGTTTCCATATCACCTTGGCGCACTTTCTGTACTTGAGGTTGTAGGTTTCCCAGCGAAGAATGGTTTCGCAACTCTGTCAACGACGTGCACAGACCACTATGAAAAATGCAGAACTTGACGCGGCAACGCAGACCCCAGTTTATCGCACATAATCGGTTCCCTGAGAAGTTCAAACATAGACGACGAATCCGTCTTCTGACATCCACTGAGTTCTGAATGCCATTCTCCAGCCTACCAAGTTGAAACCACGATCTTTCGCTCCCTTTTCAAGATCTGGCAAACACTTATCCTGCGAGACTACTATTCATCACGCTGTTGATCCTGGATTTCGTCTACTGCGAAAAATTTCGCTTTCGATCAACTTCGTTGCGAATGACTTATTTTCTATCTGGGTCGGTAACCATCGGCATTTTCTAAAGAAAATGATGCGCTCATAATTATCTATTATTTGAAAAGCATGGCTAATAGCCACCAAGTTCCGCTCACCACATATATTATGCACTTGCACAAACGGAAACTGAGAAACTTAAATCTTCTTAGTTTTTGAGTGCAGAACCCCTATGCCTCGCATTTCATTTTAATAGAATCGCATCTGAAATATGTATCTAGAACTATGGGAAATGAGTGCCAAAGCAAATGACGAGGTATTAAGAAACTAGTCACGAAAGGAATCAGTTAAACAATGCATTGCGACATAAAAGAATGTGGAACCTAGTGAAAAAATGTGAATTTCCATAAGATGAAGGGCCCAGCATGTCCTTGATTCTGGTTTCGGTTCAGTCGTTCATTGTTTAATATGACAAAGGAGCGGACTATACCTAATTGATCCCATGGTGCAGCTTTAATGCTAACATGTAGGACAAATAATGTTTTGGAATCATGCCAACGACAGATCTTAATCTTCTTCATCTTCATCTTCGTGAATTCCTCTCCTACCGGGTCGCAAAGGCAGAACGTGTCAGACTGTGGTTCCAGCGTTCCCAATTCTGTGCTAGAGTCTGAGCTTAGGCAGAAGACAACGTAAGTCTAGAACAAATTCCTACCACATATTTGCACCAGGGTAACTTTGGCCGTCCCCTGGGCTTTCTGCCGGTCGGATTTGAGAGGAACGGTTGCTTAGCCTTCCTTTCTGGAGGCATTTGCAACACATGCCCAAGCCATCGCAGTTGTGACTTCTCAATCTGGAGAAGCAAAGGCTGTATTCCAAGGCTCTTCCGGAGGTAACTATTCCAGACCATGTCAACACGCGGAAGGCCAGCGACTCATCTAACAACATCCATTTCAGCAGCTCATACCCGGGACCGAAGTTTTCCAGTTATGATCCATGACTCATTACCGTAACTGAGCATGTGGGTAAGATTGACTTGAATATCGAGAGCTTAGTTTTCAGACTGAGCTCTGCTTTAGTCACAGTGGGTTGAGCTAGTTCACGCAGAACGCCACTGGCTGCTCCAATTCGCCGGTCGATCTCTTCCTCCCATTTTCCATTATTAGTAAATACAATTCCGAGGTACTTGAACTTCCCCTTCAGCTCCACTGCTTCTCCGTTCATCTGAAGAGAGCAACGGGTAGGAGAAAGAGAAAGCGCTAGGTTTTTCGGTTTAGACGCGTTTACACGCATGCCGATCACGTCGCACTCGGCTGCGAACCTTTCTAAGGAGCACTGAAGATCGGTTTCAGAAGATGCTAATAGAACAAGGTCGTCTGCGAACAGCAACCTTCTCGACTTAACATCTCCAATACCGATACCCTCGTCGCCTTGGCAGCTCCTGTACAACACAAACAGGATAGGGTTTCGTCTTAACGTCATTTACTCTGACGCACTTCCTGCTAGTAGAATACAGTGATTAAATGGCCCTTATCAACTGGCCATTTACCCCGTATGCTCGCAGGCATGACCACAGACTGTTGCACGGGATCCGGTCATAGGCTTTTTCTAAGTCAACAAAACGCAGTGAGCGTATCGGATGGGCAAACTCCCACGATTTTTGAATAATCTGGCGTACGGCGAATATCAGATCAAATGTGCTTCGGGAGGGCAGGAAGCCATACTGTTCTTCTTGTATCATGAAGTCAGTTATTCCGAGGAAGCTCCTTTCAAGCACCCATAGGCTGACTTTACCATGAGGCTCAACAAAGCAATTGGCCAATAACTGGAGCACTTTCCCTTTTTGAAAAGGGGTACCAACTCCCGTTCCCCAAGCCGTTAGTTTATTCTTCGTAGCCATTGCAGTTTGAGAGTCACACTTAATCCAGCACATGTCCAGGGTAGATATTTAAGCATCTCAGGGCAGATTTTATCGAGTATAACAGCCTTTCTACTCTTTGTACCTTTCACAGCTTGTATAGTTTAATCTGCAGAAATAGTAATATCCATTCCCTGATAGTCTATAGGTGAGTCTTCCTGCTGTTGCCCGGGGTTAAGGAACTCCTCAGAATACTCTCTCTATCGTCGAAGAATGTCCCTATCTTCGGTAAAAGGATGTACAGAACTGTCCTTCAAAACTCTTAGACTTCCCTTCTTTTAACCATGGACGGTTTGCCAAAATGCCTTGTTTTCCGTCTGGAAATTCAAC